CTGCCCTCACCCTCCCAGAATACTAAAGTTTGAAACATATACGGATACACTATTATACACAAACTTGTCCTTCAGAGTATACCATCATCTGATAAATCACTTCCTGCATCATCCGACGAGTCTTGGGTATTAATCCGGACCTAAAACATGCTAAGATTTTGCTGTAATTACTGTTACTTACATTTTCTTTTAGCACCCAAATGCATCACTGTCACAAGTTACCAGAATTTGGATATACTGAAAATTGAAGATTCGGTAACTAAATAACAGAATAATGATGTACTGAATAACCATAAACCTGCTAACTAAAAGACTGTATAACTGATACTTGAGGTAAACTGATAACCATAAAATATGATAACTGCTTTTGTACTTTCTGATAAGATTATGCTCTAATCTGTACTACTATCCATTGCATCCTTTCAAGTCTCATCTATTACCAACCTATGCTCCATAATTATACCCCAATGGGCAATCAACCTCTCTAGGACCTTGGGTTTTTCTTGCTCGTCGCTGGGCATTTGATACGTTTGGAATTCGATAGGATGAGAAGGTTACCTAGTGCTATAAGCTTTATGGCATGACCTAGAGTAGAAAGAAATGAGACAATCCTGAATGTCTTGGTAGTTAACCATTTATATGAGTGGCTGGCATACACATATAAAAGGAAACTCTACTGGACACAGCTTCATAGACTCCCTAAGACTCTTGAACCTAGTGCTCTGATACAAAGCTTTGTCATGCCCCGAACCTGGGCCTGGATGTAACACGACACCCGATGCCTGACTACATATGACCGAGCGAACCAACTGGCTGGATGGAATCAACATGTGAGATCATAACATACTGAATGCAAAAGATAAACTAACACATGTTGATATACTGAAAGTCTGAATGATATAAATCAAGTGCGAAAACACTAATATAATTCTGAAACATATCTGTAGCAAACATTGCTTAACATGAAAAGCCTGCGATTCTGTCTAACTGTTACTCTAGTCTATAAAGCCTCTAATGAAGTATTGAAAACATTGACTGTCTGAAAATACTGAAGACTGTAAGGTAATGATAATGCCCCGAAAGAACTGGGAATCACCAAATAGTTGGTACGAGAATCCTAGCGCTCTAAATCGTCAACCTGTAATCATTATCTGCATTGTGAGATGCAGGCTCCAGGCAAAAGGGACGTCAGTACATTTGAATTGCACTTGTATGTAAAGCAACTGAAAGAAAGAACTATAAATGCTGAAACTGATACTGAGTTAATAACTGAGAATTGAAAATTGATAAATGAAATGATAACTGTTGAAACTAAAACTAAAATGATAACCGATAACTGAAATGATAACTGATACTGATAACTACATGATAACTGATAACTGAACAAAACAAAGGAAGTAAGGATATGAATACTACCTCTTCTGAATGATGAACAACCAGTTTATCTAAATAAACTATGGCCTCGAGCCCAATATATATGTGCACAAGCTACGACCTCAGACCCAAGTATATGTATACATAACTACGGCCTCAGGCCCAAAATGCATACCTCAGGCCCAAATATGCGTAAAGCATATAAACTACGGCCTCAAGCCCAAATATAGGTGTTCAACATTCAGGGATTTAAATTCAGGAACTGAGAATCATACTGCAACATGTGATGCTGAAATATTGAATCATATTGAGTTACATGATACTGGAATCTGAGACATGTATTCTTGAACTGATTATGAAAACTGAAACTTCAATTGTTTATGACATGCTGAGTAATCTAGACTGAGACTCATTGGCATCAACCCCAAGTCTTTATTGATTACACACTGAGCTCAAAACGTTTAGAATGAAAGTCATGAACGCGTTATGCAGCTAGAGAATAGAATTTCTGTAACTATTCAAGGATCTAGGCTTAACTATATTTATGAGACAATTAGTAATGTCGTAAAAGAAACGTAGTGTATGGAGAATCATTAACATTCCCAAACATAGAGAGTTAGTCTCATATACCTTAACTTCCTGCTCTTGAGCGTAATACAACATTCGCCAACCCTTTCAAATTTAATCTATATCAATACAAGTCAAAAGTGATTCCAAATTAGCAATAATACTCATGTTTCGGTCACATTTTTATCAAACACTTGGTGGGTATAAAGCTTCATAGCCCTCATTAATGGTGTTTCTACACCCAACAACATATTATCTTGCTCCTAGATGAATTCTAAAACCTCAAATTGCTATAATCAACACCTTTCTTTATCACCCATAAGATAAACGATATCCTTAATCAATAATCCACAACCAACAATCCAAGCTTATAACCGTTCATGGTTTTCTATTAAAGCTATCAACTCATATCTCATGAACTTGGAGTTTATAATCATTAATCCAATGCTATAATAAATTGGAGGATGAAGGTATTACCTTTTGACGTTCAATCCTCTTGAATTCGAGTTCTAGGGTTTCTTCTCTCAACTATGATGTCCCAGTCGAATATCTAATGATTTGAAGGGTTTACCCATGTTAATAAAGTTTTAGAGAATTGAAATTAACTTAGAATCACCATTAGAACTTACCTTGGATGGTGGAGGGACCTTTGAAGAGTTAGGTTCTTGAGAGCTTTCCTTTCTAGAGCAAGTTTTTGTGTTTTGGGGGTGTGGGGGACGAGGTAGGGCTTGTAAAATGACCCACCGGGTGCGCTCCGTCGCACCTGAAGGCCCATATGTGAAGCTGAATGTGCAGAAGGGCAGTAGCACTGCCACAAGTGCGCGGCCGCGCACGGGACCATCCGGTCGCACCTGGGCGCGCATCTGCATATTGTCCAGTAAAATGTACATAACGTTTTGCACACACATCTTTTCGGGCTCTACAATATATCGTTCGAAACATATTTTAAAGGCCAAGAACTTTATGTTTTGATTTTTCTCCAATTCCTGACAGAACTTCATGAAATCAGTCTGAAAGACAGATCTTCCATAAAACTTAGTCGATTTTATCGAATCTTATGCACCTCACTCCTCGTCTTGATTCCAAACGACTATTTTCACCTATACTCATCCTGATAGGACTTTATATGTCTAAAATAAAACAGTACTCATTTAACACGTCTACACCTAGTTCGAATTTACAGAGTGTTACACCCACAACGTGACAGTGCTGCTTTGGGAGCACTAGAGTAAACCTGCTAGCATGTCTAAGTTTTTGGCATGGGTTTTGTAGAGTCTCAAGCCATCTAGGGGCTTAGGCTTGGTGACCACATCCCAATTCACAATGTGGATCCTCTTTTTACTGTGGTGGATCCCCAAAGAAAGTTACGTTGATGCGATTTATGTGGTTTCTAGTAGAAGCGAGGAGAAGGTTGGTTTGCATGGAATAATTAGGAATAGTTACTAGGACTGATTGTAAGATTAGCTTTCCGGCCCGAAAGCTTATTATTCATTTTATCAAGTATGAATTGGTAATCTCTCCATTTGGGAAAATGTGTTGATAGATGAAAACCTAAGTATTTACCAAAAATGGCAGAAGAGGGGACATTAAAAATAGTAGTTAAGGAGGCCTCGATAGCACGAGTGACATTTTTGAAGAAGAAAACTTTTGATTTGGCAAAGTTTATTTTTTGATCGGACTATGTATGCAATGTGTTGAAGATATTGATAATTGTGGATGATTCTGAATATCAGCTCGGAGTCTGAAAAGTTATCTCCGTGTTCTTTCTTTTAAGAATGGATTTTATCTTGAATCGAGTAATTCGAAAATAATAATAACAACAACAACAATAATAATAATGATAATAAATTCTTTTTGCTCATCTTACTTTGTTGAATCTCATTCCATTGTCATCCCTATTAACAATGGCGGATGGAGCACATAACCGACGTATTTTAAACTCAACGCTTTCAACAAATAACATATTTCAAAAACTATTACTTACTACATTAAAATCGATAAACTTTAAAGTTTGATGAATCTAGTGATAAGTAGGGATATTAAAAAAAAATCCGAAAAATCGAACCAAACCGATCAAAAAAATCGATATATTTTAGGTTTGGTTTGGCTTTGGTTTTGAATTTTAAAATTGGTTTGGTTTTTGTTTTAATAAAAAAACAACCGGAGAAAACCGAACCAAATCGACTATAGAAGTAGCTATTTAAATTTATTATATATATATATATATATATATATATATATATATATATATATATATATATATATATATATAAATTTTACGGTACATATTAGTCATTTGTATTTTTAGTCTAGTCCTTTGCTATATAATAATCTAATTCTTTGCCTTTTCATTCTAGTTTGATTGGTAGTTTTCTTTTGCTATGTAAAAGAACTTATTTCATGTTAAAAATAATCAATTTTTAATTGAGTACTTAAAGTAGCCTATTTGATTCAATTATCATCAATATATCTTGGTAAATGATACATTTTTCAAAGAGCAATTGGTTTGATAGTGTTATGTTGAAAACGTAGTCGCCAGAATATGTGTTTGGCAGTGTATGTCTCATATTTAAGAAAAAACCGATAAATAACCGAAAAAATCGAAAACCCGACAAAAATCGGATCGATAAAAAATCGACTTAATTGGTTTGGTTTGGTTCCAATATTTTAAGAACCGACTTACTTGGTTTGATTTCTTTAAAGGAAAAACTGATCAAAACTGAACCATGAACACCCCTAGTAATAAGAACCTAATGAATAAATGAATCAAATTAAAATATTGTATCCGCCTATGCATGTATAGGACATTGTGATACATAAAAAATCTAAAATAAATTTACAATTACTATCCTAGACCCGTACGGATTTATCCTCACTTTCCATTCTCATTACGATATGGAGTTTGTCTAAGGTGACACGTGCACCTCTTGCAATCCTAAAAGCATGTAAGTCCTATTCCTACTTGGCACGTTACATAAAAAAAGAGAGAAAGAGACAAAAAGGAAACGGAAACGTGAAAGGAACCAGCAATTAGTTGACCATCTTTCTACCATTACCTACCGTACATGCTTCTGAAACGCATCTGATTCTGCCGAAAGTTCTTTCAAATAGGATCCATTCTCTAATTTGCCCCTTTGACCTCAACAAAGCATAATACAAGTATAAACCCCACACAAAATCTTAATCAACTTACCAAAAAAGAACGTGATTTTCACCTTTTATATTACTTGTTTCCATTGAATATTCACCACATGCTTCTCATGTCTTTTTCACTTTCATTACCAAATATTTCACCTTTAAACCCCCAAAAATCCCACTAATTCATTGTTTTATCAAATTTAGAGACATCTGAAGCCAAGCAGCAGGTAAAGTTTAGTTACTTGTCAAGTTTTGAAACTTTATCAAGTCAAAAGTCAAGTGGAATTTTTGGGTGTTTTCTTATGATTTTCTGATCTTTTCTGAATATGATCCTGATTTTGCTTTTTTGATATTATTTGCTGAGATGGGTTTTCAGAATCAGAGATAGCTGGTTGACTCTTGGTATTCATTTTACTTGTTAAATTCTTAAGCTTCTGCAAGTCAAAAGTCAAAGTGAGTTCCAATTTTGGTTTGTTTTATTTTCTTTAATCTTCTATGCATATTGGATTCTGATTTTTTTTTTTTTTGAAATTTGGAAGTGTACCCAAGGGTTAAGGTGAGGCAACAGAAAGAAGAAGACGATGAGTATGCATATGAGTCTTTGCCATCATTGAAGGCTTTTGAATCCCTTTCCTTAAGTGACTTATCTTCTTCAGGTATACTTTTGTCTGTTGAATCCCATCTTTCATTCTTATATTATCTTTGTTTTTTGCTAATATAACTTGGTCTTGCAATCAATTTCTATTTTAGCTTTTGTGTGTGTGTGTGAGAGCTGAGGGTCTATTGGAAACAACACACTACTCTGCCCAGACCCCACTTATGTGATTACACTGGGTTGTTGTTGTTGTTGTGATTAACTATTTTTGGATTGCTCTTTATCATGCAAGATTAGGGGAACTTAAAAAAATTCTGTTTTATGAGGATTCTGGATCAACATCATACCTTCCTATAGCTTTAGCCCAAAATCAAACCTTCTAGATATTATAATTTTTTGCTATTTAGACTTGTATGTCAGTGTTGTGATAACTAAGTACCTCTAGTTTTAAACAGATCCTAATTAATTTGCCGTAGAAGACTAATTGTTAGTCAATATTGGATGAAATCAGCTCAAATGGAGCGAAATGGATGTGGAGGCTCATCTATTATATTTAGGTGTAGTTGAATTGAATAGGCTTTGATTGTCGAGTTGATATGGATGTAGAGGATCTATTTTTCGATTTAAATTTTTCTTGTAAATGGATATCGACATGGCGACATTGGTCTGACTTGCTATTTGTTTCTTAAAATGCTGTAATGATGGTTCTATACAATTCATCAAACTAATTGTAGTTGACTTAGTTTTCTTTTGCGTATACTCCTGCTTTCCTTAAGCATGGCACATTGTAAGTATGGATTTAATTGTAATATCCTGATGCAAGCAAAGGAATAATGCACGGCATCATATTCTACTTAACCTCTTACAGATTTCTACTTGTAAATAATCCTAGAAGTAGAGGCTTAGAGCATTTCCATTTTGTGTATGCTGGTCCTTGACCTTGTCTATTTTGAGCTGAATCCTGATGTGTTGCATGATTAGACTTCCTTCCAGTACTGTACTGTGTTTGATGACCCTATTCAAAAGCTTTCTGATGTGTCGCTTGATTACCACTAATACCACAGCTTTCTATGGTTGATCAACCAGGTCAGCTTTAGCGGATGCATATCCATCTTCTATCTTGTGACTATGAGAATATGTTTTGTTTTAAGTCTCCAAATCCCTGTAGTTCTTGCTACTTCTCACGTTTTGTTGTCTTGCATAATGCTCATTGAAGGCTTTGATTTGTTGGTTAATTTCACAGTACACCATTTTCAAAACCATGACACACACAGTATAGATGGTTGGATTTAAGCAAAAAATGGGAGTTTGCATATTAACATCCAGCAACAACTTCGGACATACTATTGTAGTATTCAACTGATTCCATCAATACATCATTGCCTTTCCATATCCATCATTTTATTTGTTCTCAGCTTTAGTAGTGTCTGACCTTTTCCTTGCTTTTTCTCCTTTGCTCTTTTCTGATGGTGTATAAAGATGATTCGCCAACATCAGTTGTGAGGATACCCCGAGCATGTATTTTAAGCCCAGATAGACATGGGATTTCATCATCAACAGGTTACATACTTCTTTTTACAACTTTTTGTTACCGCCTACTTTAAAAGCGGATTGGCATTCACTCTGCTGATTGGTCAGGGAGAACAAAGGACAATAACCAAAACATTTCTGGTGGAAGCAAAACAAATGCAAGGGCCAGTTCAGTCCCACGACCACGTGCAGTCTTATCAAGTCCTGGTAATCCCTGATAAACTTTGCATTGTAGAATTAACTCCTTCGTGGGGGTAACCCAAACTTGAACTTCTAGATACTGAATGGTGTAGCACAACCGTATTTGTTCATGAACAAAGTGCGATGGAAGAAACCTGAAAATGCACTTGACATTTACATTTTACGTGCTTTTTGTTGACATTATCATGTAAATCTTACATTCCCCGTCCTTATGGATCTGAACAGCTTTTTGCTGATACCTTAAATTTAAAATTGTTATTTTCGGGCCAGTAAGTGTGGCTGTGTATAAGAAAAGGAAACCCGTAATAGGTATGTAGAGTAGGTTCATCTTCATTGCGATTTGTGAGCTACTTCGCACGAGTTCTGCTGATAATGATACCACACCTTTTAGGTAATATGTTGTCTCTCCATATTACCTAAATGGATAAAGCAGAGTAATAAGGGGTGATTCTACACTAACATGACTAATGATACCCTCGCGTAGTTTCCCAGTGCATCGGATATATACTTCGGCTATACAAATAAATACACTTCATGCACATAATCAACATATAAGTACTGGTTTTCAGTGAGACATCAAGGGGAATTTATGTTGTCTCTCCATATTACCTAAATGGATAAAGCAGAGTAATAAGGGGTGATTCTACACTAACATGACTAATGATACCCTCGCGTAGTTTGCCAGTGCATCGGATATATACTTCGGCTATTCAAATAAATACACTTCATGCACATAATCAACATATAAGTACTGGTTTTCAGTGAGACATCAAGGGAAATTTGCTGTATTTGATTGAGCACGACGGATCTGCATTATTCTCGCATCAGAAATGAACTTACCAACTCATCTAACAAATTTGCTTAGATGAGAAATAGGAATTTTGCTGATACATTTCCAAAAGTTATTCTTGATTCTGCACTATTTTGCTGAAAGTATTGGAATTTTGTTTGCAGATAATGATCAGATGATAAGAAATAGGGGCAAGACGAAAGCAGAACTAATTTCAGGCTTGAAAAGTTGCAATTCATGTCAAAACAGACATCACACCAGGTGCAAAATTTTTCCAAAATCAATTCAAGCTGAAAACCCTACAATTGGAAATAAGGGCTCAAAAGAAACAGCTGATGTAAAACTTGATCCTCGGGCAAGAGGAAGGCTAGTAAAAGCTGATCAAAGTCAAAAGACACATCTTCGTAAAGGAGATCAAGATTCTTAACAGTCCGTATTGTCCGAGTAATAACTTTCAAATAGGATTGTTCTAGCCTGCATACTAATTGTGAAAGTTTCTGACTGCAATTGGTCGCGCTTGACCAAGTTATAACTGAACTAGAAACTCTTCAAAGAGCAACCTTAATGAGATGATTTCTTTTACGATAAAACTCATCCTCTTTGCAGAAAATTCTGCATCTTCAGACTGTTGACGTGTTACACCATCGTCTAGCTGCAAGTGCTTAATTTCAATTTAAAAGTGTCATTGACCAGTAAGTAATGTTTTCCCTGTGAAAAGTTATGTTTTATCTGTTTTTACCTTTAGCATCAGTGAATAGCCAAACTTTCTTGCTGTCATGGCTCCTTTATTAGTTGAAATTGTTGGTTAGTCCTCATTAATGGAACTTAAACTTGTTTTGGAGACATTACATTTTTGAGTCTTGTCCTTAATGTTATGTTTGTTGTACCTTTTTTAGACCAAATATTCATTGTCAGTTTAGACTTTTCCCCAATGTCATAATGCCTTCTGCACCATAAACACAAGCATAATTGAATTATGTATAAGGCAGGATACAACCACTTACTCAGTTGTTGCACCCGAGAACTTAGGAGTCGTTTGGTTGGGAAACAACTCATCCTAGGACTAATTATTTCGGGATTAGTTATCTCGAGATTGTTGTTGTGACGACCCAAAGAGTCATCACCCGTTTTCTTACCCATTCTGTACTTCCGAGGCCTTGAAAACCTCATTTAGGGTTGCCTCGATTTGTGTGCGCAGTCCGGGCGCGTAGCCGGAAAGCTTAAATATGAATTCTGTGTGAAAAATGCTAAATTTTGATATTAATATGAATAAATTTGACTTCGCTCAACATTTTGGGTAAACGGACCCGGACCCGTGATTTGACGGTCCCGGTGGGTCCGTAGGAAAATATGGGACTTGGGCGTATGCCCGGAATCGAATTCCGAGGTCCCAAGCCTGAGAAATGAATTTTTGTGTGAAATTGTTTTCTGGAAATGATTAAGGAAAATGAAAATGAAATTTGATTAAAAGACTATGGTATCGGGCTCGTATTTTGGTTCCGGCGCCCGGTACAAGTCTTATATATGGTTTAAGCGTTTTCTGTAAAGTTTGGTTGAAAACGGACGTCGTTTGACGTGTTTCGGACTTGAAATGGAAAATTTGATGTTTTATGAAAATTTGGAAGAAATCATGAGTTTTGAGGCTTGATTCAATGTATATCATGTTATTTTGGCGATTTGATCGCGCGAGTAAGTCCGTAGGATGTTTTTGAGGTTGTGTGCATATTTGGTTTGGAGCCCCGAGGGCTCGGGTGAGTTTTGGGTAGGTGTCGGAGTGCATTTTTAAACTTAAAAAAAAATCTGGTATGATCAGGCCTGCAGGCTTCGCATTTGCGAAGGCTGGTTCGCAAATGCGAACTCGCAAATGCGAAGGCTGGATCGCAAATGCGAAACCAGCCCAGGCCTGCCTCGGATCGCAAATGCGAAGAAATCCTTCGCAAAAGCGAAGGTCAAGTGTTCGCAAATGCGAGGCCTTATTCGCAAATGCGAAGGCTCCAGATGGGTCTGAGTTCGCAAATGCGAACTATGGTTCGCAATTCTCACATTTGTCGGGGTTCGCAGTTCGCAATTCCCATATCTGCAGTCCAGCAATTTTCATACTTAGTCGAATTTTAGGCCATTTTTCACCCCACTTCAAAATACAACTCCTTAGGCGATTTTTCAAGAACAAGTTTCATCCCAAATCATTTGTAAGTCGATTTTTACTTAATTCTTTCAATCATTAACATCATTTAACATATTTTCCACTTAAAATCAAAGATTTTCATGGGTGAAATTGAGGGTCTTGGGTAGAACCTAGGTTTTCTAAAAATTGGGGGAATGGGTAACCGGGTTTTGGTTCGAATCTCGGGTTTTGACCACGTGGGCCCGGGGGCGATTTTGGAATTTTTGGGAAAAGCTTTGGGAAATTCATTTTTATGCATCCAAATTGATTCATTTAGTGTTTATTAAAGCAATTAAGTAATTTGTGACTAGATTCGAGCGGATTGGAGGTGGAATCACGGGGTAAAGCCAAAGTTGAGGCTGAGGTTGAGTTGAGTTCAAGGCATCGAGGTAAGTGTTTGGTTTAACCCTTGCTTGAGGGAATAGGAGTTGAGTCTTATTTGTAACTTGCTAATTGTCGAGTACGATGTATAGACATGGTGACGAGTATCTATACATTGGTGTCTTGCATGACCGTGAGTCCTTGTTTTGCAAATAGTTTGGTTGTTGTTATGCCTTCCATGCTTAAATGATGACTTCCACATGTTGTAAAGATCTTGTGAAAGAGATTGTGATCTTTGAACTTCGTGGAGCATTGGCTCGGGTTGAAATACAAATTGTGAAGGTATATGAGATAAGTAACTCCTTGGAGATGTGGCTCAAGTTATAATGTGAACTTTGAGATGAAAGTGAAAGAAAGAGAAGAGTTAATGATTTATTCCCTTGTCGGGACGTTGTTGGTTATTGATGTTGTACCCTTGCCGGGTTTTTATTTGTTTGTTTGTGTACCCTTGCCGGGACTTCCATTCTTGTTTTATTATTCCCTTGCCCTTGTTTGTGATTTGTTGATTGGGTGAGGAAGAGTGTTAAAGCACAAAGGGTGATTCCGTGCATTAAATGATATTTGTGGATCGGGTTGCGCGCCGCAACAATGCTAAGTGATATGGATCGGGTTGCATGCCGCAACAATGATATTTGTGGATCGGGTTGCACGCCGCAACAATGCTAAACGATATTGCTCGGGTTGCATGCCGCAACAGTAATGTTATATATATTGGGATCGGGTTGCGCGCCGCAACAATTATTGATACAAGTGTGTTTATTTTGGATATTAGTCTCTTGTCCGCTGTAAATTTTAAGCTGTCTTTAGACTGTTACTCTGGATTTACTGCTAATACTGTTATCTCCCCACAACATGCTTCCCCTCCCATATTGTTTACTTGTCTTGTATTTCGATTCCGATGTATATATATAACTACACAGGTTTATGTGGTGGTCCGGTCTAGCCTCGTCACTACTTTGCCGGGGTTAGGCTAGACATTTACCAGCACATGGGGTTGGTTGTGCTGATACTACACTCTGTGCTATTTTGCACAGGTCTAGGTTTCGAGCAGCAACAGCAGTAGTGTGAGAGCAGGCTTCATTTCAGCGAGACCCGAGGTAGCCTTGCAGGCGTCTGCAGGCCCGGCGTCTCCTCTATCCTTTATTTTATCTGTTATCTCATTCTAATCGAGACAAACAACTTATATTCTCTTTCAGACGTTTGTATGTAGTATTCTTAGCAGTTCGTGAGTACAGTGACACCAGTCTTGGGTAGAGGATTTTGTTGAACTTTCCGCATTTTTATTCAGTTCTATAAAATGTTAAGACTTCCGCTTATTATTGAATTTCGTTATTTTTTTTGTATTATTGCCGTAAATTGTTAAATGGAATAGATAATTAATGGACAAGTAATTAAATTTGGCTTGCCTAGCTCTCATTAGTAGGCGCCATCACGACTCACGAGGGTGGAAAATCCGGATCGTGTCAAGTTGGTATTAGAGCTCTAGGTTACATAGGTCTCACAACTCACGGACAAGCTTAGTAGAGTCTGAGGGATCGGTACGGAGACATCTGTATTTATCCCCAGAGGCTACCGAGTTAGGAAAAGTTTCACAATTGTTCTTTCTCGTCGTACGGTTTGGTTTCTCAATGCTAATTGAATTTCTACTCTGTTCTCTCGCAGATGGCGAGAACACGCGCTTCTTCATCTTTCGATCAGCAGTCTGAGCCCCAGACAGCTCCCGCTAGGGGCAGAGGGCGAGGCCGAGGCCGTGCTAGAGGCCGAGGTAAGGGCGGAGCTCAGCCCCGAGCAGTAGCACCAGTGGCGGAGCCTCAGGTTGACTTCGACGAGGAGGTTCCGGCCCCAGCCCCAGCAGTTCCGGTGGGCCCAACTCAGGTCCCAGAGGGGTTTATTGCTACCCCAGTTCTTCAGGACGCTCTAGTCCGATTGGTGGGCCTCATGGAGAGCGTTACCCGAGCAGGTATGCTTCCGATAGCACCAGCCGTCTCTCAGGCTGGAGGAGGGGCCCAGACTCCTGCTACTCGTACTCCGGAGCAGGGAGTTCCCCTGATTCAGACTCCAGCAGTTCAGCCAGTTGGAGCAGCTCAGCCGGGTGTGGTAGCCCAGGACGGTGATGGGGCAGCTATGTCTGCCGATGCTTTATGGAGGTTGGATAGGTTCACCAAGCTCTTCACTACTACATTCAGCGGTGCTTCTTCTGAGGATCCCCAGGATTTCTTATATAGCTGCCACGAGGTTCTTCGGAACATGGGTATTGTTGAGACCAATGGGGTCGATTTTACCGCCTTTCGCCTATCTGGATCTGCCAAGACTTGGTGGAGAGATTATTGCTTAGCCAGACCAGCATGGTTGCCGTCTTTGACTTGGGAGCAGTTTTTAGAGTTGTTTCTGGAGAAGTTTCTCCCCGTTACTCAGAGAGATGCTTATCAGAGGCAGTTTGAGCGCCTCCAGCAGGGTTCTATGACGGTCACTCAATATGAGACCAGGTTCATTGATCTAGCTCGCCATGCTCTTGTTATACTTCCCACCGAGAGGGAGAGAGGGTGAGGAGATTTATTGATGGTTTGATCCAGCCGATTCGTCTCCAGATGGATAGGGAGACTGGCAGTGAGATCAGCTTTCAGGAGGCGACCAATGTGGCCCGCAGAGTTGAGATGGTTCTATCACAGGGAGGTGGTCACGGGGGAGACAAGAGAGCCCGTCATTCCGGCAGATTCAGTGGTACCTCGTCTGGAGGTAGAGATTCATATGGCAGAGGCCATCCTCCTAGGCCCTTTCAATCAGCTCTCCAGATTTCTCACGGTGCATCAGGTGGCCGTGGTTCTCAGGCACATTATTCTGATCAGCAGGCATTCAGTGCACCGCCAGCTCCTATCAGCGCACCGCCACTTCAGAGTTTCCGTGGGGGTCATTCAGGTTGCCAGGGTCAGCCTCAGTTTCCTCAGCCACAACGTTCGGAGGGATGTTATGAGTGTGGTGAGTATGGCCACATCAGGAGGGCTTGTCCGAGATTGAGGGGTACTCAGTCGCAGCAGTAGGGTCCCCGTCCTATGATTCAGGCACCAGATGCTCCACAGCCAGCCCAGCCAGCTAGAGGCGGGGGTAGAGGTACTAGAGGTGGAGGTAAAGGTCATAGAGGTGGAGCTCAGACCGCCAGGGGTGGAGGCCATCCAGCAGCAGTTCGACCTAGAGATATGGTTCAGGGTGGTGGGGCCCAACCCCGATGTTATGCTCTTCAGGCTAGGCCGAGGCAGAGGCTTCAGATGCGGTTATTACAGGTACGGTTCTGGTTTGTGATAGAGA